CCGAGAACACCGGCACCACGGACACCACCGGTGCCACCGAGAGTGCCGGTGCCACCAACAGCCCCAGCGCCACTGAAAACATCGGCACCACCAGCAGTACCAGTGCCACCAACAGCACCGGCACCACCAAAAGCGCCAGCGCCACCGACGCTGCTGAAAACACCGGCGCCACGGACAGCACCGGTGCCACGGACAGCACCGGTATCACCGGCGCGACGAGCGCGGCGGCCGCCAAGCTGACCCTCGTGCCGGCCTCCGCGCGGCTGCACTACGGCGCGCCGGGCGCCCTGCGCTACCCGCTCGTCAGCGTGCGCAACGTGTACCTGTTCCCCGGCGTGCCGGCGCTGCTGGAGCGCGCGCTCGACGCCCTCGCGCACCTCTTCGGCGACGGGCGCCCCCGCTTCCGCTCCCGCTGCGTCTTCGTGGCGGCCGACGAGCTGCTGCTGGCGCCGGCGCTGGAGGAGGCGGCCGCCGCCTTCCGCGGCCGCGTCGCCATCGGCTCCTACCCGCACTGGGAGAGCAACTACTACCGCGTGAAGGTGACGCTGGAGGCCGAGGCGGAGGCGGCGCTGGAGGCGGCGCTCGCCTTCCTGCTGCCGCGCCTGCCGCCCGGCAGCGTGGTGCCCGCCGTGGAGGACCCCGTGGCGCAGGCGGCCGCGCACGTCTACGGCCTGGCCCAGGCGGGTACGGCCGCGTTGGGGCCCCGTGTCCTCCTGCGGGGGCACCGGGGATGTGGGCACACGGTGAGACCCCCRGGAACGGCACACGCCGGAGCTTCCCGTGGGAAGGTGAAGCGGGACCGGCTTTGTGGGTTCCCGTGGGGCACCAGGGTGTCACCGCGGCGGGTTCCCCCCGCGCCGGTGCAAACGGGTGCCCCACGAGCCCGCTGTCCCCCCAGACTCGGCGCTGGGGCGCAAGGTGGCGGCGGCGCTGCGCACCGTGGAGGAGGCGCTGGCACACTACGGCCCCCGGCAGCTCTGCGTGGGCTTCAACGGCGGCAAGGACTGCACCGCGCTGCTGCACCTGGTGCACGCCGCCCGGCAGAGGTACCCGCGCCGCAGCCCGCGCACGGGGGGCTCATCTCATATACACAATGGGGTCATCCTGCACCCCACACACACAGGGGGCTCATCCCACTCCCCACATGCATGGCGGGCTCATCCCGCACACCCACACGCATGGGGGGCTCGTCCCATGCACACCATGGGGCTCATCCTGCTCCCCACACGCACGGGGGGCTCATCCCATGCACACCATGGGGCTCATCCTGCTCCCCACACACA